CATGAGCAAGACCCTTTTTTTCTGATCTTTTTCTACCGAGAGGGCCATCTCTTTCTAGCACATTTTGTTGGACGCTGTGCCGCAGTTGCATTTTCCTGCTGTTTTTCCTGACAACTTACTATGCGGCTATGCGGCAACGTATATATGAGAAACAAACACGGACCGTGGAACATTTGAAGGTTCAAACGTGGCATCTGGGCCCTTTGGCTTTAATTCCAAAAAGACCGCTGAAAATTGCAAAAGTGGAGCCTTGAAATGTGGAAACATGCGCTTTTAAACGTGGAAACTCCGGCGTTGGAAGTGTGGAAAATGAATACTTATAAGGTAGAAACTTGATCCTTTTAAAGAGCGGAAAGATTGGAAAATGACCACTTATAAGGTAGAAAATTGATCCTTTGCGGAGCGGAAAGATGCGCTTTTGAACATAGAAAATCCGCGCTGGAGTCGTATCACACCTGCGTGCGCGCAGTGTTTCGTATAGATTTTGATAGTTCTTTATTTGATAGGTTATTGATTCGAACACTTTTTCATCGCTGTGCGCGATGTTTTGTTGACATGTTTCTATTTGACCCTACTAGCCCTAGCGTCAAGTCATATCAGCTCGCAGAAGTTGTAGCGCCAACCATGTCCATTCTACCCGCGAACCGCTGGGATCGCTAGGTATTGGCACCGGCTGGTCGTTCAGTATTCCGAACTACAACCCGCGAGAGCCCTCAGAAACTGGGGAAAGCCACACCAGAAGCGCTGTTTTTTTCCTGTGTGTGCGCTAATAGATAAATACTGATAAAAGCATACTGTAAGTAGACTTTAGTTTGCTCTCTCTCTCTCTCTATTTATATACATACACATATGCATATATATATATATATTATATATATATATGCATATATATATATACATATGCATATATATATATAGATACATATATATATATAGACATATGAATAATATTAAATATACAATTACACACATACATCCACATACTGTATATATATATATATTATGCACACATGCACCACTATGTTCTCATGTACAACTATGTACACAAGTATCCCCAAGTTTCCTCTTAGCCAGACTTTTGAACACTGCCCCTTCTTTGGGCCCCTTTCTCAGGCGTGACTTGATTTCCAATCTCCGCTTGATGCTCCGTGGGTGCACCGGATGGGCGGCAAAATATGGCTTTGCAAAACATGGCATTGGAACCTATGGAATAATCCTGTTTATTTGTCGCGAATAATCCGCACTTGGAAGATTTTTTCCATTTCATTCCTTGCGGAATATCCTGCGACTTTCCGTTTTTTCATGTCTCTCTCTTTCCATATATTATATATATGTGTACATACGTATACAAATATACATACAGCCTTATAGCATTGAATTGGACAATTGGTGGCATACATTCTGAAATCCAAATTTTTGGTTTGAAAAGACAGCAAGGCAACGGTTATGGGGAATGGTTCATTTTTGATGAAAACAACGGGGCCAGAAGTTGATGATCTTGAAGCTCAGCAGCCCCTTCTCCAATGGGGTATCTATTGACCAAAATTGATGGTATGTACTTTTGGGGTATGGAATAAAATATCTCTGGTATGATCAATATTGATGGTATCTATGTTTTCATATGTTGGTCAATAGTAGCCAAAATTAGATGGTTAATATTAACCATGAATACCATGAAGAGAATCTGTGGTCCCCTTGGCCCCGGCCTTGAATATTGATCCATTCCCGTTTGACCCTGCCACATGTCAAGTTCGGTTGTGTTGGACCATGAGATCATTGCAGTGTGGATGAGATTCAGTACAATGGCTCACATGATTATAATTCCAATAGTGATTCATTGTACTATAAGTAATAGAACTATTTTAATTATACTAGATTATCATCATTGTACTTATAGTTTCATGATCATAAGTGGACTTAAATCCATGATTCTTCTGAGTAAAATCTGGAAACCTCCGGACATCTCGTAGGGAAGCGCCGGTGGCAATGACACCTTGGTACCGTGGCTTCAAGGGAAACGTCCGAGAGCCTAAACATCGGTGGGAGGAAAAATGCTAAGATTAAAGACCCCCATGGTTAATGGTACCCTCTGGTGAACTAACATAGCAATGGAAAATGGCCATTTATAGTGGATTTTCCCATTAAAAATGGTGATTTTCCATTGCTATGTTAGTTCACCAGAGGGTAATGGTCCCAAAGATGTGTAAATCTGCCCACAACTTTTAGTAATTGGACGATTTCATTGTTTTAGGGCCGTGCGCCTAGAAAAAAGTCCATTTTTGTATTGCGTTGATTTATAAAACTTATATTATATTTCATTATTCTTTCAACGGGGCAAACGCTGGTTGCTACTTTCTGCTTGCTTTCTGCTTGCTTTCTGCTTGCTTGCTTGCTGCTCCTTGCTGCTGCCTCCTGCTGCTGCTGCTGCCGTTGCTGCTGCTGGTGCTGCTGCTGTTGCTGCTGCTGTTGCTGCTGCTGCTGCCTCCTGCTGCTGCTGCTTCCTCCTCCTCCTGCTACTGCTTCCTCCTCCTGCTGCTGCTGCTGCTGCTTCCTCCTGCTGCTGCTGCCGCTGGTGCAAACATTTTGCCGAAAACCAAACTTACAGTCTCGGTCGCCTTGTTACGAAGCTTGAGAGAGAATTACAGGTCCGAATTTTAGGCGGGGTCGGTCGCATGGTCCACTTTTTCTCCTTTGGAATGCAATGCAATCGCATTCCGCGACTGCGAAGTAAGCCAATAGCTCTACTCGCAAAATGGGCAGTGCAAACCCTAGACAATATTATAACATACGTAAGAAAGGATATGAGAATTAAAGTGGCGAACATGCTATCCAAATCAAAAGTATATATATTTAGGCCATTTACAGACCTGGGTACCCCCCCCCACCCCCCAAGGGTCTGGAAAGTAGGTATTTTACAGGAAATGTCGCGGAATAGCATCATCCCTGACATCGATAGAGATAATTGTTTGGCATCCCGGAAAATCTTCTCAGCTATCACACTCGCCAAACATCTCTTTTAAAAGGCACACATACTATCACGGACGTAAAGATACCGCAAAATGGGCAGTGCAAACCCTAGACAATATTATAACATACGTAAGAACAGGTATGAGAATTGAAGTGGCGAACATGCAGTCCAAATCAAAACTATATATATTTAGGCCATTTACAGACCTGGGTACCCCCCCCCACCCCCCAAGGGTCTGGAAAATAGGTATTTTACAGGAAATGTCGCGGAATAGCATCATCCCTGACATCGATAGAGATAATTGTTTGGCATCCCGGAAAATCTTCTCAGCTATCACACTCACCAAACATCTCTTTTAAAAAGCACACATACTATCACGGACGTAAAGATGCATATCATTCCCATTCAGTGCCATTAGAATTAGAAAATTCAAATTCTTTCTCGACGTTTTAGTACAAGATTCACTTTTGGTTCTGTTTCAGCCTTCTCAGTACGGCCTCTTACAACAATGATATTACAGCATTTGTTTCCTAACCTAGGTGGCTCCTGAGCGCAATCTTCATTCCAATGCTTCGTGACCATAACCGGAGGCCTGGAGCCTATGCATCACTTGACAGTCGACTCAGTTCTAAACCTGAAAGACTATTCCTTCCGTTTACCAGTAGATCGTTTTTGTAGTTCCTATCACAAAACTACCAGAATCAGGGAGGCACCAAAAAACGTCAAACAGCTTTAAGCATTATAAATACTCTAATCTGCAGATTGTATTTACTTTTCTTACTCTGTGAATGAAATCGCACTTTTCTAACTTCACACAGAGTACCATGAAACCAATTTTCCCATGCAACTCCTAAAATCTTACCACTCGCACATCCTTTTTCCTATACCATCCGCATCTTGCTCCAACGTTTCATAACAATCTATTTCCTATTACCAAAACATTGCTCATCATCTAACATTATCTACTGAAACCAAATCGGATTTCCTGCTCAACATTTACTACTTTGTACTATCCTCTGCAAAACCTGCGCAGGTCACCAGGACCACGAGCAAACGAGTCAGTCCCGAGGCGGAAGCTGCCACTATAAAATACCATGACAGATCAAGCAAAGCAACCTGCACGGAACTTCCGCAGTAAAACATGTATAAAATATTACATGTAGAAACACCGTCTCATATCATTGTAATATCTGCCCGATCTGAACTTCAACTTCTTTCATACCAAGCCCCACAGGTGACATTGCCCCGGACTGTACTCTCGCTACCCGCTGTATAGTTTGGAATCGCACAACAGGAATGTCATTGCCTCATGCCTGTCGATATAGAACCCAATCAGGAAGTTGTGTGAGAATTTGACGTTGCTTTATCTCTACATGTCAATGCACCATGAGTTTGGTCCCTCGAATAAAACTTGTTGCACCTTCCTGTGAGTAAATATTCTCGCAAATTCTTCGCAAAGTATTTTTCCATTCTGGATATCAACTTCAGCTCTACAAAAAGCCCACTTCTAGAATTTGAATCCAGTCTTCGTTGTAACTGAAGGAAGTTCCATCTAGCCTTTTTATGCACATCCACGCCACTACGGACCACATTACCTCTCACATTTCATTGCTGCCATGCTTTCACGTACATATCATTAAATAAATACATATATATAATAAATATATATATATATTTCTACATTTCACAAACCAGGCCCTGCAGCTACAAACCCTTTGGGTTAACAACTACTGTATCTATCTCATATTACTCAAAATACTGCCGTAAAGCATCACAATCTCCTATTTACGGTACTACAGTATTGCATTTCTTTTCATGCTCACTTCAACTATGCACTTCTTTGGCTCGATGCGTACCCCCCCAGCAAGTTTCCAGACATTTCAGCTGAACATAGTAGTACAATATAATTACATTCTCTGCTGCCCACTACTTTATCTAGTCGCAATATTACGTATAACTGCTCGAAGATATCCTACAACATAGTTTTCGTTCCGACAAAACCAGAGCCGCTTCACAGCATTTGCCCTGCCTCATGCCCCGGCGTCACTTTCGCTACAAGACACAGTCTTTTTACTTTCCGGCCAATCTATCTTCGGCTCAGCAACTGCGACTCGAAGCCGTCGTGACTTTTTTGCAACAGCAACCAGAAGTACTCAATGAATTATTCTCTGGAAAAGATTTTGAATTTCTTTGGCAAGCTGCCATCTACTTTTCTCGTGCGTCTTCCACTGAAAATGAGCACATGAACATCCCTACCCAGCAGATCAAGCTACCGCATGAGACGTCGATCCAGTGGACACGTTCGCGCGTGCCTCTTCGTAACTACTTCAGCGAATATTTCACATTTTTGCAACGAAAGCTGCAAGCAGTCCAATGCCCTACTCGGGAAAGTGCTCGGGCTCTCCTTTCTCAACCCTGTGATCTCCAGTCACGCACTTGCAACTACGCCGGGAATCAATGGTACTGCTTCGTTCCTACTTCCCGCAGCAATTTCGTGGATGAACTTCTTACAATATTGCAGTCAACGGCCTGTTACCGTCAACAAGCGTGGTCCCTAGCAGAATTTCGCAGCCTCTGGACTGAAATTCAGTCCGCCTGTTGCCTGCAGAACGCCGATGAACTGCTGCATCTGGATCGTTCGTACTTAGGCCAACGCTGGCGCCGTCGCATTGCATCTCGCTTTGTAATTGTTGTTGCTGAACTCCTTCATTATCTTCATGCACAACCGGCTATGTCCCTTGCTGAGTTCCTTCGATGCTTCGACGCTTGCATGCCCTATCCTGCGGCGCAATGGGATTTTCGCTGCTTGTCCTCCACAGATCGTCTTGCACGATTGGCTGCTGCCTGTGCTTCTACGTCTTTGGAACCTAGATTCTACACATCCGACATGCAGTCTGCAGGGCACTCCTCAGATCCTAGACGCCTGCGGCTTGCTGAAGCAGCTCAGGCTTGGCCTGCTGCCATCCAGACACCCGACCTCCTGGCTCATTTACATGCTTATCGTCATCATTTTGAAGATTGCCTTGCACCACCTGCGCCCTGTGCTTTTTGTGCTTGCCCATCCTGGAACACACACGAAAACCTTGTGGATTTGCGTGCTCTTCCGTGTGGTCTTCCACACCTTCATTCTCTACTTTCTGGACAATTTTTCTTGGAACGCTATCGTGCAATGTTTGCTGACTTCTCCTTCCCCACAACATTTATTGGTCTCACATTGGAGCATTTGCAAAATCAATTTCCACCCCTGCCACAAGAACTTCACCAATTCAACCCTGTCTCTTGTCCATTCTTGTCATTTTTTAGGGCTCAGTTGTCTTCATACTTCTTTCCCTTATGACTTATGTGCAAACCTTCTAACTCCGTCTCACATAGTCTTTTGCCCAGGATGTGTGGATGCTTTTCCTTTCATCCGGTCACCCGAAAGACACTTGGAACACTCAAGCACTCTGCTCCAATACTCCATTGCATTGCGCTATTTGTTCCGATTGCCGAACTTGCTTGTTTACTTCTGCGCCTGCTTTACCTGCAAAAGCCTTGGCCAATAACAACGCCTGTGCATATCCTCCTTCGGAACTCCGTTTCCTCTCACTTGGAGAACAGATTTTCATCGCTCGCGGTTTTGCGCTACGACGCCTTCGTACTTTGACAACCTCTGGTGACCCAGAAGCACGACAGCGCGGTCTTCGGGGCACAGCAAGCGCAATAGCATTTCCACAGAATTCAGCCACCATCTTTTCAATACTTCCAGTTTCCGCTCTCCGTCTATCGGACTACCTAAGTGTCTTCTTCACAGATGAGACCCAGAGCAACTTGCATCTGTGTCCCGAGTTTGTGGTTCGCCGTTCCAAAGTACATGCGGCGCTTCTCTGGCTAACTCAGCATAGTCCCTATTATGCAGATGTCACCATTGACGAAGCTACTTTGGCAACCCTCCCTCATCACGGTGTGCCACCTGAATGGGCCAGCAATGTTCATTTGACAACAGTTCCACTTACCCGCGAGTTTGGGCCTGCCGATGCTTCTTCCGCCTCCGTGCCTACTTCCGCCATTCATGCTGCCGTGCTCGATCCCAGCCTCGATCAGACAGATCCTGTACACCTCTGGAACACCGCGCTGCTTGCCTGCGAGCGCTTTGAGCGTCACATCGCTCGAGAACCCGACGCCGCAACAGCGGACATTCAACTTGCCAGTCATGCTTTGCAACATCTTGCACAAGCGAGCAATCATCGTTCCTTTGAAGCGGATTCCCTGCACCAATCTGCCTCAGCATCCCAAGCACACAAACTATATGTTGCTGTGCCCCATGCCGACACGCCCCTCGACAGCTATGACCCATCCTTTTGGTCAATGTGTTTTCCAGCACTCTTCCCTTTTGGAGATGGCATTGATGGCCAACCTCGCCAACGGTATCTGTCCGACCATGACTGGGGTTCTCTTCTACTTCGACGAAGAGACCGCTCCGCTGATTGTCATTGGCGTACTGACCTCGATTTCGTTTCAATCCTCTTCTCCATACTCCACCGTCGCCGTCTCCTGCGAGCCGTGCGGGTTCGGGTCCAAGCACCCACTTTTCGCGAACAGATACCATCTCTCACCTTGCTTCGCTCCACTGATTGGACCAAACTTGCTGCCACAGTTGGCGAGCTACTTGCCTCTGAACTATTCTATTTTTCCCTGCGTACTACCAGTGAAAAGCTTTCCATTTACGTTTTTTAGTTTCCACCACCCTTTACCTGCCTTCAGCCTACAAAGGAGTGGTTCTATCCCTGAAGCACTTCGAGCTGCAGATCTCTCTCAGGATATGCGAAAAATTCTTCGCTGCCTCCAAGCTGTCCAAGGACAGGTTCCAGGTACTGATGCCGCCCGACGTATCATGCGTGGTGAGCTTGCGTCTCTGACCACTTATTTTGGGTACCCGCTTCTTTTTGTAACCTTGAACCCAGCGGATGTACTTCATCCTTTCACCTGGCGCCATGCCCTATCCACGGAGCCCACTCCTTTACCAACTACCCTTTTGGACCAACACCTCCTGGAAGCGCTGCGAAGTGCACATCTCTGGCGCATCGTTGCGCAAGACCCAACGGCTGCAGTAGAGGCATTTCATGTCCATGTCGATACCTTCTTACGAACCCTATTGGATGTGCCGTCTACCAGCCAACATTTGTCAGCGGACGGCCTTGCTTCACAAAATGGCGCTGGCATCTTTGGACCTCTTTCCGCTGTTTTCGGTTCCATCGAGCCTCAACAACGTGGCAGTCTGCACATACACCTGTTGTTATTCTGCTATGGGTTCCAGGACCCTCGGTCCTTACTTGACCGCTTCATATCTCGCCTTCCCTTGTTGGAGGCGCGGCTTTGGGATTGGATACGGTCCATCGTCGTCACATCTTTTGAAGCAATCCCTTCTGTCTTCGGGCTGCCCGCGGCCAGTTTGCAAACCGTCCGCCCCCTACCGTACTCAGATGCCAACATGATGCTTATGCATCCATCCTACCAGCACCATTTGCAAGCTTCAGTCGACAACTGGTTTGCCGCGCTTCCAGATCAGCTCCTGCCAGCCACTGCCTCCTCCGACCATCCTTTCAATCTGGAGATTCCTGCTGACAAACCCTTCGTACCCTTCTGCCTCGACTATGTCCAGACACTGCAGTATCCTGTACAACCAGACGAAGGCACAGTACTTCTGTTTGATCTTCGCACTTCGGTCCTATACAGTGGTCTCTTGCATTCTTGCCAGCCAAGGACATGCTACAAAGGGAAGCTGGGCCGACGCGGCTATTGCCGCTTAGGATTTTGGCATTGGTTACAGATTGAGCCTCACACCTGGGAGCGGTGTCATGGTATACAGCTATGTCCTCGTCCCCTTCTTGGTACCACACCGCCACACTGCGACACTTTCCAAACTGAGCGACACCATCAATTTTTCGGACGGGTGAACCCCATCATCCTCATGGCCTGTAAATGTAATCACGATGTGTCCAACTTCTCCGTTTCCCAGCGGATTATGCCTTTGTTCCAGATGCAGCTACAACTATTTGCAACAGAATGTCTGCCAACATGTCTACCTTGCTCTTCTACGTCACTTCCTACACTACCAAGACACAGCCACAGCTTACCTCCCTTTGGGACTTGCTTCATTCAGCCACCCAAAAACTTCAAAATGATATCAGTTCTGGTACCCTTGACGGACAAGACCCACGCGCTCGTGCTCGCACTACCCTATCTCGACTTTTACTTTCCTGCCAGAAGCGAGTGCACAAGTCAATGCAAGAGATGATTTCCTATCTCCTGGGACACACCGACGCATATTCCACCCATTCTTTTCACAAACTTTTCTTCTTCCATTTGGCAGCCCAACGTGAAGCTGCTCATCCACTGGCTGGCTCGCACCTGGCTGATACCGAAATGCAAGCTCGTTCCGCTTTATTTCTGCTACCAACTGCCGATGATCCTGAACCGTTCATTCACCCGCGGTCCCTGGTGGTGCTCCTTGCGGTCCATCTTTTTGGTCTCCTTCCAGCGACGATTATCCATTTCGAGGCGAGGACCTGCAAACTTGGCCTCTCTATTTCTATGCTGCCGGTGTCGCGCGTGTCGCCAGCTCCAAATCCGCACTTACCACTCCCGGCTGCATTCCATTTTCACCCCTCCACCCAAATACTCACACGATCCGGCAACAAGTTCTCACACACCAACCCTGGCGAATCCCACATCTCATGGGCCCACGGATTCCCTCCAGCAACGAGGACTCTGAACGACATGCCCTCCTACTACTTCTCTTGTTCAAACCCTGGATGCATATACGAGATCTGCTTCCTGCATCCCAAGGGTACTCATGCTGGAACGATCACTTTCTTGCGTGGCTATCAGCCTTACAAGCCATGCTGCCGTCCGACAACTCCCGGGCTCCACCTTTCACTCCTGCCTACTGGGCACAGCGTACCTTACATATTATTGCCCACATTGACAACAACTCCAGCGCAGACCCCGCAACTGCTGACCGTGAGCTTCGCTGCAATCCTGATGAGTTGCGTGGTTTCCTCAATACCATCACCATCGAATCCGACCTCCCACCTGCTCCCGACGACTCTGATTCAGACGTCTCTGATTTAGACCACCTGAATACTGCCGACTTCGACTTGATTACCCAGCCCGTGCCCGCAGAAGTCTCTTCACTCCTTTAACACTTTTTTGGCTATTTCAAGCTGTCTTTCCAATAGAAACCCCTTTCTTACTAGAACCCGCTACATTTCCTATCCAGTTGCGTTTTTTTCCTATCCAACTCTTTACAGTCGTAATAGCTACTATCCTGACTCTATAAACAATAACGCAAACAAAATTTTAGTCACTCTGCATTTTGCTACCTTGACTTTCTTTTTTATTTTCAGTATTTTACCTAGAACTTCTATTTACACTGCCATCTGACTATGCCCACCCTATGTCAGGACACGAATCGGCATGATTCACTTCGCACTTCTCCTGCCTTCGCTGCCACCTTCGATATACTCGTGGCCATTGCGCGATCAGAACTGCTTCCCCTCCCAGGCGTGACTGCCAGCTTCGTTGCTCTTTTCCGCGTCTTGGACGATGCTGTGACCCCACAGACCACCGACTTTGCTACGAATCCTTTGGAGATCTATACTGGATGGCCCCTTCCTTCCCACATGTCTTTGCGACAACTCCAACGCGATGAAAAGTGTTGGGACTCTGTCCTGACAAATGCTTCTACTGCTTCTACCCAACCGGCTCCTCTTCAACCACACCTTCACTTGGAAACTGGTCCTTTCCCCAAAACCGAAACTGTGGTTTTTGATCACCTTGCTTCTTGGCTGCGCAATGGCCGCTGCAACACCTCCGACAACACGTTGAATTTAAAGCAAGCAGCGTACCTTCTTCTGGTTGCGTCATGGCTACAAGCAACCTTGAACAAAACTTGGGGCGTGTCCACCACCGCACCACCTTTTCAATCGTCGTTGCTTCTTGGTGGCCCGGGTACTGGCAAAACATTTGTCTCCAATTTAGCGATCGAACTCCTGCATTTTTTCTTGCCAGACTCTACACTGCGAGCTGCATATACTCACCGCGCGGCAAGACTCATCGGAGGCCAAACTCTACATGCTTGCCTGGCCTTACCATTCGACTCAACAAGTACCTCTGCTGCTGCAGCATCCCTTGGCAAACAGAAGGAAGCACTTCAACTCCTTTGGCGCCACATCTCCACTTTCCTCATTGATGAGGCATCTATGCTGTCTAATGAGGTCATTGCTCTCACCGACCTTCGCTGCAGACAGATCGTAAACGTAGCTGCTGTGCTCTGGGGTGGCCTTGCCGTACGTTTCTCTGGTGACTTTCATCAACTTCCCCCCGTTGGCGCTACCTGCTTAATCCAGCCATTGACCGCGACAGCTACTTCCACTGCTGCGCTGACCGCTTCCCAACTCCAAGCCGCACTTGGCGCGGATATATGGCGACAAATCACAACAGTTCTCATCCTGGATCACAGTCACCGGTGCCAAGGACCACTCAGCCAATTTTTGCAAGACCTTGCCTCCGATAAAGGCGTTACAGCATCTTCCTGGCAGCACCTGCAAAGTCGCCTTCTCCAAGCAAACGATACTCGCCTGCTGGATTCCAAATTCCAACCACGAACCTGTCCTGTCGGCGTCATGCGACACACCATACGTGCCATGAAAACCTTGCAACGAGCGCAGCAAGCCGCCGCAGCTGCTGGACACCGTTTACTTCTCTCAATTGCTGCCGATCGATGTTCTTTCGGAAATCGGGACGTCTACCTGACACCCGCCCTGGCCCAAGAGGCGGCCTCCGTCCACACTCTCTCTGTAACTGCAAATCTTCCTGGCCTTCTTGCTCTCTATCCTGGCATCGAACTGTGCCTCGAAACCCGACTTTGCCCTGAGCTCGGCGTTGTTCGAGGGTGCACCGTACTGGTTGAAGACATCATCCTTGCTGACAACGAACCGTACCTTGACTTTGTTTGGCTTTACCCATCGCCCATTCTAACATACTCTGCTTCCAAGGTACTTTCAGCGCGATGCCAGTCTCCCTCCGCATCCTCTTCTTCATGTGCCCACTGCCCTTTTGCTTCGCGTACAAGATGTTTCGTGGGTCAAACATGCTGCCCTTGGCCAAGGTCGATTCGTTTTGAGTCCTGCCACTCACGCATGGAAATTTTATCCGCGGCATCCTCCAGCAGATGCTGTTCAATTTGATACTGAAAACAAAGCTTACATGCTACTTCATCGCTGCCAACTTCCTTTAACAAATACCTTTGCAATGACACATTACACTCTACAAGGCCAGACCCTACCTGCACTCATCTTGGACCTTGCACGGCCACCTGCAATGAAACCTGCGCCTCGCCTTTTTCAATTATTTTCTTTTTGCTCCCCTTTCCTTCTCGGACCCGTCCCCCACTCACACACACAAAGCCAGGATGACTACTGGATCGCTTGCCTGGTTCTCCTCAGTCGTGTGCGACACATGGATGATCTATTACTTCTGCGCCTGCCAGATTTTACCGCTCTAAACCGACCACGTCCTGCGTACCTTCGGGAGGCTTACATCACCTTTCACAAACACGAGACTTCAACGCTGCACAATCTCGACGCTATTCTTGCCAAACTGCACCTGCAGGATCTGCGCAACCTCGTCACACTTCCGCTTCTGCAATCTCGTACATCCTCCCGGGCAATTCCTGTCTTGCCTCGCCGCCAGCCATCGTGAATTCTTTCTTCACCTGACGCAGAACCTTCTCAACAGCTACCACGACGCGGAAACCGACGGAAAATCCTGACCTTGTCGCGCGCCATCTCCTCACCATCCATAACCCTAATCACCTAAGGTTACTTCTATTGTTACCCCTTTGATACCGTTATCCATATTTGGCTCCTTCTTTCTTCGGTTCAGCTGCAGCTCTATCTCACAGCTGTGCAGGTCTACCTCGCAGTTGCAAGAGGCAACGCTGTCACCAAGGACTGAGCACACGGCAGATTATACCTATTTGACAAGATCAATGAATATTAGTTCCAACCCTAGTGACGTTACGTGTAATTTCCTTTACATTATCGCAATTCATGAAAATACCAAAAAACTTGTAACAATACGGACAGCAACGTAGGGAAGCGATGCAGAAATAACTAGATGCCAGGCTCTTTCGCAAACAAGTTTTATTAGCCTTTCTAAGAATGTCGTTGGATTATCTATTTGTATTTATAACGATTTACAAACCTGGGGACAGGATAAAGCTAGTGAATCGAAGCAGTAGAGTGCTATGGTATCGAGAAGAAATAAGAATGGGGCCAAAGAACATCAGAGAATGCAAGAGAATGCACCACAAAGCTGGAAGGTCCATTCCTAAGGTTCCGGAATTATTTCGTGAGAGCTTCTCATTCCACACAAGTATGCGGTGCTGTCACATTTGCAAGATAGCTGTACATGGAATTCAGGACGTCTTCGGCTTCGATTTGGCGACAGTCGCCAACACCTTGCGTCATGGAGCTGATCGGTGCCTTGGAGCAGTCAGCCATTGGTAGCGACACAGATGACACAGATGACAACATCGACATCACTTTGAAACATTTTCTGTTGCAGTTTCGTTACCAGCCACATCATTTTGTGGCAGATGGGTTGCAGCGCTCCCAGGTCTTAGATTTGCAGCCGACGACCAGTACCAATCCTCCGCGAGTCAAAAAGAAAGCGCTGGCTTTCGTTCCACCCCTTCTCAGGTATTATGTTCTTGTGATGCTTCCTGTAGCCCCATTTCCGTTTATTTCTTGCAACACTCACCATCTCCTGCTAATAGTTAAGTACCGTTCAAGCAAAACCCTGATTTAGTATGGAATCTATTCATGAATTGGGGTCCTAAGATACGTTTTTTCTTTATATCATATCAGCAAATGAATAAGATTGTTAAACCGTGTCAAACCACCATTGTTGATGATCAATCTTGTATTCTTTGGCGGTATGAACCATAAATTTATGTTTGTTAAAGACCAATATTGTTGACACCCATGTCTGATGGTTTTTGCCCACCAACCCACTAACCCAGCGTAAGCAAAAAACCTGAGTCGCTGGAGCTGCGGGGGTTGTCATGTCCAAGGAAGGCACCCAAGGGTTTGCAGAACCTGAAGGCGGAACCAACGTGTCCAAAGGGCCATTTCTTGGAAGTTGCTGGGCCGATGTTGGGATGTTGGTGCGATATTTTACCAAATCGATAAATCGATGGGTTAAATATCGCACCAACATATCTAAGATGTTTATGATGTTACGTTTACTACTATGGATGAATCACTGGCAATTTTGAGGGGAGTTACACTGGGAAATTGATGTTTCAAATGATCTTTCCTTTTCACTCCGAGTTCGGAGAGTTCCTAAAAATCAGGGGCTCATGGATTCTGAGAGGCTGGGTGGTGATGGTGGGTTTCCCCACTGGTGATGGTATCGGGCAACAACAAGCTCAGGACAAGATTTGCTTAGAGGATGCTTGGTGATATTTAATGGCAGCAACATTTTTTTGGATGATTTTTGATGCTTCTCTTCTTAAGATTCTGCTAGCATGATGAGGAAGGTGGGTGGACCCGCTCAAGTACTCTCAAGTCCTGTTTGCCTCAAATTTGAATCCCCAAGCTGCTGACATGCCGAAGTGCCCGTACAGTCATAGAGGCATATCGGTAGGAAGCTTTACATCCAGCGTTGAGGGCTAGAAGCAGAACTGTGGCGAGGTTTTGTGGGGCGGCCCAAACTCCCCTTCCAACACATTTTCTCAAGATTTTATGTTGCTTAGCCACCACGGGGGTGTTGGTTTCAGATGGTTCTGCCGCCTCATTTTCTCCTCCTTGGTTGAGCTTATTGGGCCCCAAACATGGAAGTAAATTTCAGGTGTATCCTGAACCAAGTCCATCAAAAAATGAAGAATACTCAATTGCAATCCTTGATATTTCACTGTTTTCCTTCATTTGGGTTGATGATGTTATTCTCATTGTTACCATTCACTACGTTTTATTTCAGTATCACTGCGTCTTTAGATTTGTCAAGTATTGCTACCGTATCATCGTCATGGTTACATTGATGTTACTGATTTGATGATTGTTGCCCTTGTTACGAGTGTTGATGTGCATATTATCACGAATATCACTATGACTCTTGAAAGTATACCCCACAGCACCCCTCAAAACTATAGAACATTTAAGATAATACCATTATAAAGTGGAAACATACCACAAAAATCTACAAAACTGTAACTTACCTGTCTATTTGCGGGTTGCTATATACACCTTGAAGCCGCCCAAGCAGTTCCAGTTCCGAGGTCGAAGAGTTCGGATGCGACAGCTGTGGTGTTGAACCTTGGCTCGGCTTCAGCTCAGCTCCTGGAAAAGGTGGAGAAATTCACGGTAACATGTTGAAACCATGTGAAATCATGTGCTTTATGGCTTGGAGATCGCTCCACAAAAACTATCAACAACTTCACTATACTGAAAACATTTGAAAAGTAGTTCAATGTATTTCATGCAGGGGTCCTCTGGAAACTCTTGGACTTCAGCCACGGAAGTCCAGGTTTTTGTTGCAGAATTTTCGCTCCCATCTAGGTAGCTCTGGTAGCTCTGGTAGCCCCTCAGCCTGTGTTTTCATGGCCCGCACTCTCCTCTTGAGCTTGCTGTTGGTGCTCAGCTCCGCCGAAACCGTGAACGATTGCATCGAAAGCAAATGCCGCGGCTGTGGGGGTGAGCAATGTCAGCTGTGCCGGGAGGACCAAAAGACCATTTCTGCAGCTGGATGAATTGTGGCAAGAGTTTTTGTTCCCCCTTAGTGTGTGTGTGTGTTTGTGTGAAAAGTGGGGTACTTCATTCCCCAGGTCTTTTCCGCATTAAGATTGCAACAGTTTGGTTTTTTTGGGTTCCACATGTTTGGTTTCCAAACCCATTTGTCTCCACGTGAGGCATGCGTGTCGTCTTGCATGGACAACATTTGCAAGGGCTGTGGTGGTGAGCAATGCCAGCTGTGCCGGGAAAATGCCAAGACCATCGAGTCCTGCTGTGCTGAACAGGTCCTGGCCTCCGTAACCGCGAACCTGGAGATGTGCAAGGCAAAGGCACCTCAGAATCCATGTGAGGGTCTGTACCTTGGATGAGCAACTCATGTTACTGAGCTGTTACTGACCATATAAAAACCCACCAAACAATGGCCAATGGCCGATGGTTTGAATTGAGTTATAGTACAATCATTGTCATGTTTTACTGGTCAACCATCGTCAACTCACATCTTTGTTTGGGGAAAAGCATTGAGCACTGTGAAGATGTCATCCAATGGTTGGCTGATGGTTTCGGTTGATGCTTCGGAATTCCAAAGCTCCAACGGAAACCACCAGCAAGCCAGGACATAATTTGTGTTGCATTAGTTCACCAGATATGCTTAACTATATTAAATTATATGTATATATATATAATTATACATATATATATATATAAGGTCCCTCCCCTATGTACCTACCACATTGGCATTTTGATCGGTATTTGCGGTGATTTTTAAATACATTTACATCACATTTTAGGCATCATTTTTTCACTACCAGGGGGGGTACCATAAATCAATATTCTGAGATTCTCGTTTGGCCCATCTGGAGGAATACTTTTTGAATTGTTCTTTTAAATAATTAAATTTTGACAATAGTTTCAAAAGGGAATATAGTAAATTTAAATGTAATCAACGAACCAAGATGGAAGGAACAACCAGAATTCCACCCAAAAAAATGAAAAACAAAAAAACTGAGAAAAAACTATACCCCACAGAACTATGCCCGGCTCTGGGCATGGTTGCCTAGACCTAAGTGTTTTTTTTTCATTTTTTTATTGTTTTTTTTCAGTTTTTTTTTTTAAGCTCTTTTTCTATCGGCATCGCCTGCCTTTCGACGCTTGCATTTTCTCGTAAAATCTGGGACCATTCAGCTTCAATCTCCATCTGCTTTCATCTCTGCACTATGGTGTTCCGCGTCTGTGCTGAACAAAGTCTACTACTTGCTGAAGCTCTTCGCTCTACGCACTTGTGAACCTCTTGAGGAAGGATGGTTTGCTACCAAAGTGGGAAGGCAGACTTGTCCAAGGTGTGGTACTGGCAAGTTGTTTCTCTCTCCAGCAAGGCCTCGTGGGCACCATGCCGAGACATCGTTGCAATGCCAAAGGGTGCCAGACCTATATCAATCCTCGGAATCCTCACCATCTCCATCCTCTCTTTGTCGATGGCAAGCGAGCGTATAGTCTCCAACAAAAGGCTGCTGCTCTGCTTCTTCTTCTGCAGCGTGTATCTCATGTCTCCATCCATCGTTCGCTGGGGGTGAACCACAAATTCCCCGAGACCCTGAGCAAGAACCTGCGAGATGTGAGGAAGCAATGGGTTGAAGAGAAGAAGAAGAACATTATCTTTGGAACTGGCCATGCTTGGAAGGACGTTGAAGCAGACGACACCTTTTACAAGAAAGATTGGGGCAATGAAGCGGTCAATCCTGCCATATCCTGCCAAGCCAGTTGGGTGGGAGCAATGGTGTGGAATTGTTGTATGCGCTCGCCCTGAGTCTCTTCTCCTTCGACGCCTCCGTCCCGAACCATCCGAAAGACGTGCTTCAGGACCAGGTGCGATTCGCCAGGTAAAATTGGTTCCCTTGGCTTCCAAACATCTGATGGACAGAAAACTGATTCCACACACCGATGCTGCAAAGTCATACAAAACCAAGGTGCGTGGAGTCCTTCATTGACAACGTGATCCACGAGAAAAAACGTGTGAAAGTGAGAGGCAAATTCAAATGGCAAGCACCTGCTTATGTTCGGCTTGGCAAGCCCGCCTGCCCCAAGACGCGGAAGACTGCGGTGGTGAAATCTGGTACCACGATTGTGGATCAGGCATGGGAATGTTTAAAATTTAAAAGAGCGCATTCAGATTGACCAGCATGCTAAAGTTGGTTCTGCCGATTTGCGTGCGCAATTGAGGTCTGCCCAGTATGGGTACTGGCACGTGGGTCAGGATCTCTGGATGCACGCAGGGGTTCTGTGTCGCTGGGCCGTGACAAAGTTCACCAGCTGAGGAACTTCAACCCCGCGGCATATGATAAAATGAGCGTCTGCAGCTTGCCAGTGTCCATATCTCTGTCTTTGTCAGTGCTCTCGTCCATGTCTACTGCACATGCTGCATTCATCTGTGCCTTCACAGATTCTGTCATACTGCTCAAGCTCAAGTATTTCATATCCTTCACTGTCGTCACCAGGTTCATAGCTTCCTGGGACGTGCGGATCCTCGCACATTCTCGATTCATCTGTGCCTTCACAAACTGTGTCATACTTGGATGGGCGGCGTGGTTGTTAAGTGGTTGGGCTGGTTGGTGGAGTTTTATTTCTCCGCCAACCATGGTTACAATTCCACCAAGTATAGTAATAAATCTTCCATCTATTTGGCCTACTTGATAACTACTTCCTGTTTCTGGCATCTACTTATCTATTGTGCCATGTAGTTGGCACAGTTAAAAGCACATAGTCATGTTATGCTGATGTGAGTTGTGCTACATATGCAAATGATTTACAATTAGAATTTATGTAGGCCTTGGCCTACTTAACAAAAATGATTTGTCCTACTTGGTAAGTATGCCGTGGCCTACTTAACAAGTAGGCCCCGGCATACTTATAAGTACGCCCCAGCATACTTATTAAGTACGCCAAGTGCAGCTATATGGTAGTTTTTTGGTGCCAACATATATTGTTTTTCTGTAAGTGTTTATTTTGATTTGTGTTTTTTTGGCTAGTGTCTTTTAAAAAATATATTTGCGATATGTCGAAAAAATCCATTCTTCAACATTTGAGATGCTGATTTCCACATCCGTTTCCCCATTTTTTTTTGTATGGTGTTTCTTTTGACGCAATCGTCAGTGGCAAAAGAAAAGAAAAACGAATGTTAGACAAACAGTCTTTACTTGAGGTAATTTTTTGTTTTCCAATTTTGGTTTCCAGTTTGTTAAAGTAGATTTATGTATCTAAGTTTTTTTCAAGGTTGATATTCAGGTACCTACAGATTGCTTAGATCATGTGAGCGCATTTGACATCTTCAGCACTGCGTTGCTGAACTTCAATTTTGGGCATTTTTCAGATTGGTGCCCTTTCAAAAATATATTAGCTCGGTCAAACATGCAGATGAAAATTAGATAACGTGTTGATTTGTGTCTGGTTGAGTTTCCAAATGTGCGAAATTTAATCTGTTTTGAGCAAATTCATCATGCGCATGAAACAACAATAGAATAGTATTTATTGAAATTGAGATCATGTTGCCTCCAAGTTGTCAAAGAACATATTTTGACTATTGTCGTATGGGTATATGTATAGATTGTTCACATCCAGGAACACATGAATCATTTTTTTCTAAGCATGAGATCTGTTCACATGAATCCAGCTTCCTCTGTTGCAACCACTTTTGTTTTTTTTGGGATGCTTTTAATCTGACCAGATCAAGACCATCCATGATCCTTTGTGTCGGTCAAAAGACAGACAGGTTTTTCCTGCAGCATTTCAATCAGCTGCCCGCATTTACATGAACATGCTGCAACCTCTTCAAGGTTGATTCGGTGAGATAAATGTGGTTTGATGTTTTGCGTCTCCCCTGTGGCCTCAGTTCGATATGTCAAGAAAGTTGCTGGGCTTTGAGCTCGCATCTATATATATGTCGTCATTTTTTGACGTGAAAACAGTTGATTGAGAGATGCCTCATGTTTTTTTCCTTCCCAAAAGCCTTGAAACATTCCAGACTTGTATGCAGTGATTTGCGCAAACTGCATGATTGGGGATATCAGGATCTTCCCATGTGCTTGTTGGCTCGCAACAAGCAACATTATTCAAAAACGTGGGCGAACATTATATGTGAAACGTGCCTTGTAGAGTTTCCAAGTTTGTGAACTGGCTTCTACTTTGAGGCCCTTCATCATTGGCAAGATCTAGCAGAATGTTTGACACAAAGTTTAATTGACGTCATCCTGGCTCACCCGCAGTATGGAGTCCAATTCGTAAAAACATATTTTTCAATGTTGTTGTATGTATATCGGTATTTATATTGATTGGTCACATGCAGCGGCTCGTGACTCCTTTCGTTTAACCAGCATGTACCACATTGCCTCCAGCTAATATAGCAGCAGTTTTGGAAATCCATGTTGAGTTCCATGGTTCGGGCATGATCCATTAAACTGGTGGATGTTCCGTATACAGGGTCTATGTTAAACATCCCAACAGGTAACTCCACAAAACTCATGCAGTGTTTTTGGTGGGTTGGGATGTACCCCTATCAAAAGTAATTCGTTTATTTTTGAATGGGGGTGTCTTGGTTTCTGAATGGTTTTGGGGTGTCAGCGCTTTGGAGAAACATGCTATGTGCATGAGCATGATCAAGAATGATTCAAGTATATAGCAACCATTGAACCATGGATGACTATATATGCCCATCCACAATCCCGCCATACATAAATCATAGCGAACCATGCTGACATTTTTCCAACGACCGGGCAACCGCGGCCCATGTCCAAGCTGCAACGAGGCGCAACATTTCGTGAGGGGGAATATTTTTTAATGGGAATGACAACTGATGTGCAATGCATTGAAGGTAATACTAAGGGTCAAAAGAAAACACGGGTTGTATACTTGTTTTCAGCATGATTCAGCTATCCCCAAAACATGGGTTTCTTGGGAACTATCATTTCTGTTGCAGGTATGACAAGAGTATAGCAGCTCATGGCACATGAAGATCCACATCAAAAACCTACCATCCTCAATTCCCAGAACCGGATGTCTATAAACATTGAGCGGCTTCCATATATCCATTTTTTGGAGGCTTACATATGGAATATGAAATCCACAGTTCTGTTCCGCGCACATTTGGAGTATACATTGCTTTCCCGATTTCCTTGGCATTCAGCTCCACGGCAAGATCAGACACCAACAGCGGCAACAGCGTGCTGTGGTGGATCTTCAAATGAATTGACAGGACAAGATTGGGCATGCTTGATGGCTGATGCTTTGATGGCATGTGCATGCACGGTCAAGAAGACATCACAAAAGGGTGTATGAGTGAGTTTCCACTTATTCAATGCTGCATCCAACCTGCATGGGC